AAATTCAAAACATTTATTAAATACCCAGCAAAAATTTACACCAAAAAGTAATGAGTTAAATATGGATATACCTTTTCGATATTTCAATAAATAAAAAAAATCTTTAAAATATTCTTAATTTCATTATGATAAAATAATGAAATTTTTACATTGAAAAACCATTTAAATAATTAAAAAAATAACAGTTAATAAGTAAATATTTTTCCAGGTGAATGAAGAGTAAATATGTATATACATATGTATTAAAATAATATGAGATATAGTACATACATATAACTACTTTCGAGTGATTGTTTTTATATGATTTTTTATTTATTTATATATTCCGAACGATTGCAGTTCGAATAATATTTATATTAATTTTGTTGAAAAATAATATAAATCGAGTATGTACACAGAGGGAAAAAATACGTTTTAAAATTATACACGCCTGGTACCAAATTGACACCAAAGGGTTTATAATTTTTCAATAATATTCGTTATCAAAAAATGCACGGATAGTTGCCAAACCAACAACAAAAATATAAAAAAATGCACGATGTTATTAAATCAACAAAAAATGTGTTACCAAAGTGACAACGTTGCGTTGTCGAAAAGACAACATTGCGTTGTCGAAACCACAACGTTGCATTGCCGAAATGACACAAAGCGTTATCGAAATGACAACAATGCGTTGTTACAACGACAACAATGCGTTGTTGCGATGACAACGATGCATTGTCAAAATTACAACGGTGGTTGTGAAAATGATAACTGTGTGTTATTTAAATTTTATACACATCCGTTATATAAATGTTAACAAACGTGTTAGGCTCACTTTTGATAACATATTTTATCAATTTCGGTACTTTCCTACCGGTTTTTTCCCTCTGTGTAATACAATGAAAACTTTGTTTTCACTTTGGCTGTAAAATATTATTAAAATCCACACAGAAAACTGGCATGAATTTTGTAATAAATATTATGAATCAAAAACGACCTTTTTCCACAAGAATAGTTCATTCATAATATTGCAATACTTTGAAAGAATTACAATTTAGGAAAACTGGTCAGTCTGTCAGTATAGAGGTCGTGGGTTCGATTGCCACCAGAGATTCTGATAAAGGAGCTCATAATAGAACTGATAGTGGCCTAAGTATATTTTTTCGGATCTAATGTAACATACTTCCTACGTCAAACTAATAAACTAAGAATAATGTATTAAATTATGTAATTAAACGTAATTATCTACCTCTCTTCTGTAAAAATTCGTACATTTCCTTACATTAGTTGCATTTATTTGTTAATCTAATTAATGTTGAAGTATTTCTTACACATTATAATTAAGGATTATTTAGCACTTATATTTAATAAATATTATTAGGACTTTAGGATTTACATACATATAAAAGTAATTTACTAGTACAAGTAATTTTTTACTACATTAATGCGCATCGTAAGTGGGCCACGGGACATCCTAATGTACATACATATATACATACATATGCATAAATATAAAATATGCAATACACTAGTTAAAAAAAAATAAATTGCAATTTACTTGGAAACTGCTTATAAATATATGTATATAGATCTGAAGATATTTTTATTTTCCATCAAAAGTTAATTTTATGAAACAATACAATATAAAAATCATTATTGTACTTCTCTACGAAAGGAACATTTTAAGAATATCAGGCAAATATGTATATTACGTTCTCTACTAAATATTTATATGGTGTAAGAAAATGTTACAATTGCGTTTCAATTATGAAAATAATTGAAAGAAGCAAATTTGCACATACTGTCACCAAATTATTAAAAATTAAAAAGACTTTATTTTTTAATTAATAAATCAAAATTTATTTTATTCAATTAAGGACATAAATTAATTATACCCTACACCACTATAGTGGGAAGGGTATTATGCGTTTGTGCTGATGTTTGTAACGCATTAAAATATTAGTACTATACCTTAAAGTATACCGATCGACTCAGAATCACTTTCTGAGTCGATTTAACGATGCCCGTTCGTCCATCCGACCGTCCGTGTGTACGTTGTTATCAAAGTACAGGTCGCAATTTTCAAGATAATTTGATGAAATTTGGAACACACGTTTGTTTTGACGAAGCCTTTTGAAATGGTTAAAATCGGTCCATTATTTCACCTAGCCCCCATACAACTGAACCTCCCGAAAAGGGCTTTTGAGCTCATAATTATGTATAATATAAATGTATCTCGAAGAAAGTTCGCACAACTAAGTTTTATACAAGCCTTCATGACCTTGCCGAATTTCGAAATGATCGGACTTCATTTGACCCTAGCCCCCATACAAAGCCCTTTTCAGAAAGTGATCCGCAATTAATTTATTAGCACTGTTATTGCAATGAAATTTAGCACAGACAAATATTATATAATTACAAATCTATCCAGCCTATTTTATCGGGATCGGTCCACATTTGCTCCTAACCCTCATATCAAGCCTTTTTAGAAAATAAATTTTTCGTCAATAAATTGCTTAAATAAATCGGAATAAAAGTAACATTTAAGATAAATGCTTTATCATGAAAAATAAATCACATTTAATATTCATAACTGGTGTAGGGTATCATATGGTCGGCCAAGTCCAACTATACTTTCTTACTTGTTTAATTATAAATAAATTAACATATAACAAAATTTAATTTTCATTCAATGGAACGATGAAAAAATGAAGAGAAATGTTCTTCATACACATTAATAATCAAATGTTATGTTACAAACAAGTTATAATACTTTGAATGCCATTTTCTCTTCTTTTACCTTCAGTGTTGCCAACTAGTTCCAGAATAAAAGCACAGTGAGCGGCTAAATACGGGTAAAATCGGGTACAAATTTGTATCACAGTGTTATTTTTTAGAACGTAGATTGAATGGACATAACTCAATTTCTGTCGGCAGCAAATGTTTAAGTAAAAATTATTCATAGACGTGTTGGGAAGTAGTAAAATAATTTAAAAATTTTCTATTTTTTTAAAAAGCACTAAAAGCGCTTCTTAGTTTTTATCGAGTATTTTGTTTTTATATTTTAATGAATTATAACAATAAAAAAAAATTAAAAGACAACAATATTCTACATGAAAGGATGAGTTTTAAGTTATGGCAAATGACCAGCAAAAGTGTATTTATTATTTTTTCATGTATAAAGTTGTAATGAAAAGAGAAAAATAAAGTAAAAATAAATTACTAAAAATAAAAACGCTTCATAAAAGAAACATAAGGACATCCAATATTTTTATTTTATTACTATAACTTACAGTGCAAAATGTATCTAATTTAATTGACAGAAATTAAATTTTATAATCTAATTGATTAAGGCTAACAACAATAATATAAAAAATATATATACGGGAATAGTTTGATTTAATATTATAGTTTAAGATCCATAAAAGTTCATAATTTAAAGTGAACTATGAAATAATTGAAATAAAAATTACTCTAAGATGTACTAGATATTAATAATATTTGGAAACAAGTAAGAGTGTAATATTCGACTATGCTGAATGCTCCCATATAAACATTAGGTTGCTATTTGAAATAGGACTTAAGTCATAGGACTTATGAACACATCCCTTTCGAATTAACAAAATATTAATTAAAGAAATTGTTTTCCAACTTTTAAACTATGAACATATATGGGCGGTCAAACGGGTACAAATATAAAATTCGGTAGAGAGAATTTGGCTTGTAAGAAACTTACTTCTGTATATCGAATTTCATAGCTATACTAGCATTTTTAAGCTAGAAATGTGCGTTAAAGTCATTTTCTGAAGGGGGCCTTATATGGGGGGTAAGATCAATTATGGGCCGATTCTCATAAAATTCGGTTTGTGATCGAAGAAACTTACTTATGTCTAATTTAAGCGCTATACTCGTATTTTTAAGCTAGTAGTGAGCGTTAAAGTAATTTTCTGAGACCGACATTTTATGGGGATTAGAGTCAATTGTGGACCGATCCTCATACAATTTGGTAGAAATATTGTAACTCATACGAAACTTGCTTGTGTCGAATTTCATCTTATTTTTAAACTAGTAGTGAGCGTTAAAGTAATTTTCTAAAGGGGACCTTATATGGGGCGTAAGGTCAACTATGGACCGATCCGATTTGGTAGGCAGAATTTGGCTCATATGAAATGTATGTATGTCGAATTTCATCGTTATACTCACATTTTTAAAACAGTTATGACTGTTTGACTAAACAAATCTTACCTATAAGAAATATTTGTGGAAAATTTCAACTCTCTAGCACATTCCGCTCAGACTTTATAATGCTTTCAACGGTCAGACAAACATGGCTAGATCGTCTTAGAATTTAAAAGGAACCCAGAAAATATATACTTTTGTGATTCAACGACCAATATTTCGATGTGTTACAAACGGGGTGATATAATCAATATACCTCCCATCTTTTTTGATGGAATGTATAAAAATGGATTAATTAAATAAAGTTCATTTTTAATTTTTATATAAACTAAAAACAACCCGTTAACGTTAAAAATTTTCATTAATTTCTTCAGAAAAACTACATATTTTTCATGATTTTCTTTTATCAAGAATTAAAGGAATAATAAAGAATTATTTTTTTGCAGAACAGATTACATACTATTTCTTTGGTTTATTTCAACCATTTTAGAATTCTTATCACGCAACATGTTCGTAGCAAACATGTTGTGGTCTGAGCCAACAAACAGTAAATATTTTCAAGTGAAATGTACATTTTAGGCGCCATATTCATTTAGTTCTTAAACGTCAGCGGATATTAACGGTTGATTATTCCGACATCTAAATCTAAAGGTATTAGAGAAATTATAATTTGCCAACAAATTAAATACAAAAGGATATAAAATTTTGTGTGAAATTAAAAAAAAAAAAAGTTAAAAAAACTAAATATTTGATTAAAAAACAGAAATATTTTATTCTAGTGTTAAGAAATATTTATTTAATAAATGTTGTTTTTTCCTAATAAAGTTTAATATTTAATAAATGTGTTTCTATTTAAATTAAAAAAAATAATCAAGGAAAATTTATACTAATAAAATTAGTTATTATAACCAAAATACAAATAAAAATTTTAAAAAATATTTATCAACGACAAGTGTTCAAAGAAATATTTTAGTGTATATGTGAAAAAAATACCTTTATCAGTAAACATCCTGTCGAATTTATAAATTTCTGGCGGTTTTATTTGCCTCAATTACTGCCAGACAAACAACCAAACAACTAACCAGCAAAATTTGTTTTTTCCAAACAACTGTGTATATTGATTTAATTTGAGACAATTTTAAAAATATATTGTTAACAAAATTTAAAAAAAGAATTTAAATGAAATGGTAAAAAATCCAAAAAAAAACTAATTAAATATTGAATAAAGAAAACAAATATTAATTTTAATTAATATAACAAAAGAACACATATTTTGTCAATAACACTTGGATATAAATGAACCAACAGCTGAAAAAAGGTACGACTTCCACCAAAAAAAAAAATGAATATTTGGTAAAACCAGCAAAATAACAAATACAAATTAAATTTGTATAAATAGTTGAAATAATTTGGATAATTTTACTTTAAATTATTTCACATTCTCATTAAGCGGAAATCAATAACATAAAATTGTTATAAATAATTTAATTATTTCTGGAAAAAAGAGAACTACACTTTTAACTGTTTTTGTCTTGGGAAGTTCAGAATATTCTATTTTTTTAATTCTCTGACAGATTACTGAACTTACTTAAAGTAATTGAAAAAAGTGGTGATATTTTAATATATACAGATACTTTTTGTAGGTTTGTGTGTTTAAAATATACTGGAAAATCTGTAAACTTGTATCACTTTACAACAGGTTGTGCGATTTGATTTGTCTTTGTAACAATTCATTGCTCATTACTCCCGCCTAAACTTAGAGTTTTATATGATTTTATTTGTAAGTATTTTGTACGTCGTTTCAGTATTTTATGCATTGCTACTACAAACATACATAAGTAAGGATTGTTAATACTCACGTCTTCTCTAAGGAAGAGGGTGAGTACTCCACTCACCCTATATGAACCAGATAGTTTTAAAGAAAAAACAACTTATCTGCTCTTACATTTTTATATCGGCTTATAAAGCTTTCACTGTACAACTATTCTTTATTGAAAAATTTTGTTTGATATTAAAACAAGTAAAAGTGTTATATTCGACTATGCCGAATCCCACCATCAAACGGCATACGGCGTAAATGGATTAACAAAACATTAATTTTTAAAAACAAAATATTTTTGTCCAATTTTAAAATCATGAACATATATAGGCGGTCAATCGTGGTCAATTATAAAATTCGGTAGAGAGATTTTGGCTTGTAAGAAACTTACTTCTGTATATCGAATTTCATAGCTATAATTACATTTTTAAGCCAGTATTATTTATGCGTTGAAGTCATTTTCTGAAGGGGGCCTTATATCTGGAGTAGTCAATTGTGGACCGATCCTCATAAAATTTGGTTGAGAGATTTTAACTCATTAGAAACTTGCTTATGTTGAATTTAATCACTATACTCCTATTATTAAGGCAGTAATGAGCGTTAAAGTAATTTTCTGAAGGGGGCCATATATGGGAGTAGGGTAAATTATGGACTGATAAAATTCGGTATGTAGATTTTTGATCGTTACTTATATCGAATTTTGGCTTAAATGGGCGTTAAAATAATTTTTGGCGGGGACCATATATGAAAGATAGGGTCATTTATGGACCTCACAAAATTTGGTAGAGAGAATTTGGATCATATGAAACTTATTTAGGTCGAATTTCATCGCCATACTCGCATTTTTAAAACAGTTATGACTGTTAAAGCTATTTTTCGGGGGGCCACTTGTATGGGGGTTATGCGAAAATGTGGACCGACTTTGCCCATTTTCAATACCAAACAAACCTTACCTATAAGAAATATTTCAACTATCTAGCTCTTTCCGTTCGGACTGTATCGTGCTTTCAACAGACAGACGGACGGACAGACAAGGCTAGATCGTCTTAGATTTTAATAAGTACCCAGCATATACATATATTCTTTTGTGGGTGGGTATAAAGAATCGTATTAAAAGTGTATGGTGCAAAAACAAAACAGAGTTTAAAATTATGAAACTTATTTAGTATTTCCATAATGAAATTATATTTTATTATCCATAGTAGTCCCAATTTGCATTACGGTCTTATAAGATTCGAAACTATACTATTGTAGTTGATAACATCTACTCATTACCACGTAATGTATAAAATAGCTCATTTTCTACATTACTTATATATTGCCATAATTTCAAAATTTTTTTGCTGGGAAATTTCAACAAATTTTTTTTGTTGAACTACTTTACTTTTTCGCACTGCGTTTTAAACCAATCAATCTAATTAAACAAAAAATAATAACTTTTAATAATAAATTCAATACAAACACAATTACATTTAATTAATTAGTTTTTATTAAAAACTAAAATTAACTCATAATTGAAATCATTTAAAAATTAATTAAAAATAAATTGAAATGTCTCGTTGTGAGTTATATTAAATTAGAAAAAAAGTAAATTAATTTGTAATGAATTTAAATTATTATACTTATTTGCACTACATTATAACGATATGTTTTTTTAATGTTAAACTTTCTCCTTTGGATAAATAAAATACTTAACAACTGTCTTTTTATTAAAGATGCTAATAAAAAAACACTAACGAGTCTCAAATGCACAATAAATTTCTACTTTTTATACTTGCAAATATTTACAGAGTGAATATTATAAAAAACTATTAAAAATGTATAAGTTTTTTTTCACGTTTTTTTTCGTAAAATCAACTTTCACAACATTACACAGAAAAAATTTGGTAATGACTTACAATTGTAACCACTTACCTATTAACATACTTTTTAATGACTACTACATATTGTTCAGATTACATAGAAGTACTTTAATAACGACTTTTAATTAATGTGTTATATAAATACTTTCTAATTCATTAAATAAATAAATTAAAACGAAGTACTTCCAAAAGAATAACATTTATCACCACTTCAAAAGTAGCGCTAATTGAATTTTTTTACCTTCTGAGGAAGTGACGTTTAAAGACTTCCGAAGAAGCAAAAGTAATTCTATTTTTTTAATGTTGAAGATATATTTTTTGTTCTTACATTTTTATGTGATAAAAAATTTTATATTTGGGCTTTTGTATTAAATGTTTCTATTACGCTAATTAATGTTAATATTATTTAAGTCAAATTAGTTTTATTCTATAATACTACAATTTCACTTCCGAATAACTTCGAAAAAAGAGCATTAAAATTACTTCTTGAGAATGACTTCGGAAGTAGTGAATTTGGAATCAAATAAAAAGGACATCTCTCCTATGATAAGCCTGTGTTAAAATCATCACTTCTTCAGTACTTCCATGCAGTAAATTTTACTTTACTAGAATTTCGTATAAACCCCGTTAAAATTTTTAATCAAAAAACTCCCAATAGCATAAATGCAAATTGCTAGAAGCCATTAAATCATAACTACCATTTTTCTCATGTGTCTATAAGAATTTGACAGACAGTTTGACATCAAATTTACAATAATTAATAGTTATTGTTTTCATCATAAATAATTCTTTAATACAAAAAAATCACATTTTACATTTAAGATTATTATTTTAAATTCAATCTATAAATTACTTGAAAATCTAACTACGATTTTGCCAAGTAACACTTAAAATAAGTACGCATCGAGATAGGTTTTTAAGTGCATTGGTACTTGAATCTAATTTCTTACCAAATTAAATAATTCTCGTTTAGTTTATAATATACCCAGTAAAAACTTTCATTACCATGTAAGGGATTAAAATGCTAAAATTCACTTACACAATAGCATTTTAAGTCATTATTTTAACATGGTGATGTCATTGGAGGCAAGTACTTACCACAAACGATTACAAGTAATTAGAAAAAGTAGTCATTGTAAATCGCATGAAAATACATATACAGCTTCTACATCTTTACTGGCAAGTTTACTAATGAATTATAAATTAGTTATATAACATATTATTAGTAAGACATTATCAGACTACTTTTATGTAATCCAAACGATATGTAGTAGTCATTGAAAAGTACATTGATAGGTAAGTAATTACAACTGAAAGCCATTACCCAGTATTTGCTGGGTATTTACAATAATTTAGAATTTTTGTACTTGATTGGTCCCTAATTGAATCAAGTATTATGTACTCGGTTTAAGGAAATTCGTACTTCTAACACCGCTCCGAATTGATTTGATTACGGATTACTCTATTCTTTTGTTGAGACACCATACTACTTATGTATGTATATTCTGGGTGGTTTAAAATTCAAAGAAGATGTAGCAATATCTATCTACCACAAAATAGCGTCCACAAAAAAATGCTAGTGTTCTTTTTTGATCAGAAATGTTTTAACTATCCTCTATAGTTCTTTGACTTTCGTTATTAATATTTTAAACATCGTTAGATAGAGAACTCATATATAGGACAACCTTCCAAAATTCACTTTAAATTAATGGCACACGTTTTAGTGGTGGGTACATAAGATTCGTTTTAGCCAAATATAACACTCTTACTTGTTAATGTCTAACTTGGTTTATTGACTGCAAAAGAAAAACAAAATTATTCCACATATTCTCTTAATAAAAATTAAAAGAAAATCAAAATCAAAAACAAAAAAACCGGTCGGTATTCGATAAATGTAATTAAATGTTTCTAAATCACACAAATCGCATTGTATTCGTTACAACAATTAATTAAATCCAATCGATGTGTATAGATTTGGAGCAAAAAATATATGCTTCAATTATACATGAACATTTCTAAGAATATTCAATTATATATAATCTGTAGTCTTTTATTACGCAAATGTCTGTATAAATACACAAACATGTTTCAACAGAAAAAGTATGAAAAACAAATTACAAATTTAATTGGTATCATTTGTGCTGTATGCTCATTGAAATAAACGTATAACAATTTTTTCTTCTCTCGTACTGTTTTACATGACAAAGGTGTGTTTAAGTGGCAAATAATAACACAAAATAAACTTGTTAACTGGATTAAATCAAACAATAACTGACCAACTCTCTAGAATCAACATCATCATCACTTCGTGATAAAACCTTAAGGGTAAAATTAAACAGAACCAATTAAACATGAGTATACGTATGTATTTGAATGACAATTTAATTCCAGTAAAAAATCTTAAAATGTTGGTAATGAGTAATCTATGTAATGTAGTTATTTCATACATTACCTGATAATGAATAAGATATGTAATGAATTATCTAGAGCATTTCTTTAGTTGATACCAGCGGTTAAAAAAACGTCGATCTATACTTTATATAAAAACTTTTCCAAAAAGTACTATAAAATGATTTGTTTATGGAGCAGTGAGTAAACGGATATATTAATAAACACAGAAAATAATTGTATAGTCGGGCTTAAGCCCGGAAAGGTCGGGTAAGCACATTTGTAACCAGTAATTTTTTGAATTTTTTTTCGAACTAAAATAATTAGTTTTTCACTTTAAAAGTAAGTACATACTTCCATTTGCTCAAATATTACTCTGGTTTCCGGATAAGATGAGTTTTCCTGGGAAATTTATGATACTCCCAAAGGGGTCCCATTAATATATTATGGTCTGCTATCCATAGTTTTAAATCGAATTTTGAAAAGCCCCCTTGCTTTCCCATCTCATTCCTACCACAAACTATAACCTCCACTATGTTGGTGTAGGGTATAACAAGCACATTTTAGATGCGAAAATTACAAATTTAATTACATTGGTAATTAATTCTCAACCTATGACAAAAATTGTTGATACTATAACAAAAATTGTTATTAATAAAATGCAAAAAAAAATCTCAACACACAAGTTAGCAATTGATTTAATTGCAAAAGTAATTATTATCGCTATTAATTTCTTATCAAATGACTTATTTAAAATTACAAATGATTTTTTCCTTATAAGATTCTAAATTGGAAAGTTCTACTTTATATCCAAAAGGGAAACAGGAAAGAGAATGTGTATTACAAACATATATTTAAGAATTTGTTCAAAATAATTATTATCAAATATTGCTGTGGCATGAGTATTTACATCTACATAGTAAACGTTATATGTAATCAGTTTCCCCATGTTACTGTAGGAGCTATAAATCAAATGACAGTAACAGGCTTCAATTACAAATACGCACCACAACAAAGGTGATAAACAAAAATACAGTATAGAAAATAATTATTTACACATGTGCTGGCATGTGTAAATAAAAAAGTTTTGTTTTTCTAGCTGTCAAGAGATTAAAAATAACAAAATTAACATTCTGAACCAAAGAAAAATGCTTTTGTGAACTTTCAGGAAAATTAAAAAATATTTACAAACATAAAATACAAGTGTACGACGCATGTAAACAAAGAGTGTAATTTTTTACAATGCTAAAGTTGTCATTAGAAAAACAATGTTATTTTTGTTATTTAACATTTTAATTATTGTAATTTAAATATAAAGTATATTTTAACAAGATTATAAATCATATTGAAATTTTTAGAATATATACTAAAAAAATAAACATCAGGAATGTTAGTGGAGTAAGAAGCGCGCTTTCAAGCGAAACACTTAGATTTTGGAAATTTCCATTCTAGACAGTAAGTAGATCAAAAGAAAAAACTGCAAAATATCATTGTTTTGAATTTAATTGTTGTTTTCTTATGTTATTGTGGCTTTGGGTAAAATAAAAATTAATAAACTAATTTTCTCTTAGTGGAATCCAATCCAAATTTCTATTTGAATTTGTATGTTTATTTTTGATTAATACTCTACTCTTACACTTTTGACTTACCACTTCAATAATTCATATACTTATTAGGTATTACATTAAAGGTATTAAACCAAATCAAAATGCATAAATTTATTCAGATTATTTAATGATCATTCATCTTTTTGTTAAATGAACTGCATAAAAAGGTCCTGTTAGACAATCCATTAATATGTGAATTTGATTTTAGTTATTTTGATTTGATTAAAAGTCTAATAGAACAAACTAAACTACCTAAATAATTTAGAAACATTAGTCAAAACTTACTTATGTAAAGTAGGGTGGCACCAAAATGGAAGTTGTTGATATTTCCGCTGAAAATTAAAATTTAGTTAATTTTTATTCACCATGGATCAAAAATCGAAAAATTATAAACTTTTTAATATTTTTCAACTAGCACAAAAATTTCTGAAAATATCTCTCAAAGAAAATCTACATAAATCTAAATTTCATATTATTGCTTTGCGTAAAATAAAAAGAAACTTGGAAAATGACTTTTTTGTTTTTATACCAAATATTTACCGCTGGACAAACATTTTGAGACACAGTATCTTAAAATAAAATAAACTTTAATTTTCGGTGGGAACATCAGTTCTCCATACAAACGTAGCCACCTTAATGTACAGTATTTGTAAGAAAACAATGAAAAATTTATAGTTAATGGATATAAAAATCAACTAAAATTTTCTTAATAGATGTCTGTTTCTGTAGTATGTAAAATAAAAAATGACTTGTATACATTAATAAAATTTAATTATTGACTCTTGTTGAATAATTAATTATAATGAAATAGATGTTAAATACAAATACATACATATGCAAGTATGTATGTATAAATGTTAATGCCTATTATAATAATTTTCGAAAGTTTTAAAGTGAAATGCAGTAAACTAAGATGATAGATAGATAGAATAGATCGATATATAGATAGATAGATAGATAGATAGTAGATAGATAGATAGATAGAATAGATAGATAGATAGATAGATAGATAGATAGATAGATAGATAGATAGATAGATAGATAGATAGATAGATAGATAGATAGATAGATAGATAGATAGATAGATAGATAGATAGATAGATAGATAGATAGATAGATAGATAGATAGATAGATAGATAGATAGATAGATAGATAGATAGATAGATAGATAGATAGATAGATAGATAGATAGATAGATAGATAGATAGATAGATAGATAGATAGATAGATAGATAGATAGATAGATAGATAGATAGATAGATAGATAGATAGATAGATAGATAGATAGATAGATAGATAGATAGATAGATAGATAAGTACATAAAGTCTCATAGTGTAAAGCCCCTTCAAATAATACCATTCGAAGTGTACAACCCAGCCCCTGATATATCTTTAAAATGATAATTGTGAAGAAGTTTAAAATTACATAACAAACTTTATTAAATATATTTAAATTAAAATTCCAGAAACCACATGCCTTTAAGCCAACATATATCGAAATAAAATTCCATTGGATGAAATGAAATATATAGTACATAAATACATAGATATACATATTTATATTTCTATAAAAGCTACAGTAAAACTTGTTTATTACAACAGATCAACTATAATACATGGAATTATTATTTTGAAAGTAATCATGCCTAATCATGAATAAATATGGATTGAAGTGGATGTTAATAAATTGTATATTATTTCTAAACAGACGATTATAGATTAATTATATGTAATAAGCTTGCAGTAAAACTAACAACAATAAAAAGACGTTCCTAATTCAAAAAATTATATACATAGATGATAACTATAATTATACTTTCACCTTTTTACCCCTTTGAGAAACAAATACATAAAAGCTCAATAAACAACTGCATACATACACACCTTGTGTACGAAAAAAAAATCATTTTTTTTACAACTATAATTTAGAGACTACCACCACTTGTTTTAATTACAGACTGACTGACTGACTAAATTAACAACTGCAAACAGTTGTGTGATATAAAGTCAAAGTCAATGAAAAATTTCCTTGTAGTTGTAATAATTATTCCATAAAGTCTAGATAAAAATTGCAATTATTAAACCAGCAAAAAATAATAGAAGTAAAATTTTTCTGAATCACAACAAAAAAAAAACCTATCGAATATTTTTTCCTTTTATAATGAAAAAATGTTGCTTATCAATAAAAACCCGGCAGACTAGCACCTCTTTACCTCGGGATTGCAATACACCAAGATGAGGGTCTTTCATCAAGGAAATATGCCCCGGGGGGACATAAGCGTATTATTTCAATCGAGTTATTACTACTTCTAAGAATAAGATTAGATGTAAATAAATCGTTAAAAATTAACAACATCCCTCCACTGAGACGCCAATGTAAAATTAATAGGTTTTTGATACAAATTTTGAAACACTTTGGGTTACTAGTTGTGATGAATTTATTTATTTTTTTTTTTTTTTTTTTGCTGGGAATTAATATGTGGTTTTGTTTGTTTTCTATAATATTTATTGGCAAATCAGTAGTGCAGGTCAAATAGCAAACAAAAAAAAAAGCATTAATAATTAATGCAATTAAAACATTAACTAAGTATTCAGTTATTATTGTGATTTATATTTTATTTAATGTTATAACAAGATCAAACAGTTGAATAAACAGACAAAGATAAACAGACAGGATTGGCAAAATTGTTACAAATGTACTTTGTTTGGTACAATTCAATATTCAAAAGTACAATGGAGAACCATTTTATACAATTTTAATTTTATTTTCTTTTTGAAATAAAAATCTAAAAATGTAGTTCCGACTGCGGTCAATTTTTTACTAAACTCCAGAAGAGGAGAATTACAACTTTTGTTTATATTCTCTTATATTATTAAGAACACTGAAAGTACTTTTCTAGCATTACTTTCTGCTTCAGGTAAATTAAATTGATTAAACTTTTTCTTTAGAAAAATCTATATAAATCACCATTTACAACGTATTAATTTTATTATAAACTAAATTCGAAAAGTTATCAATAATTGAAATTTTAAAATCCCACCCAAACGAGTTTAATTATTGCTAAAGTTTGAGTTAAACAAGTAGGAAAGTATAGTCGGGCATGGCCGACCATATAATACCCTACACCATGAGTATATTTAAAAAATTTTTATTTTTCATAAAGAAACTTTTACGTTGAATTTTACCTTAATTCCAACACAGAAAAAAATAATTTTAAAAAATTTTCAATTAAACGATTAATCAAAAATTTTAAAAGGGTTCAATTCATTTTGTATTTGATTCATAAAAATGTATAATCAAATACATTTCTTGTACGAAATCAATTATAAGTAGTAATTGAATATACAATTTTTGTTATAGGTTGAACTTCAAAAATAAAATAATTGAAAACGAGGTTTTGGTAATTGAAATCGTTTTTCAGTTTTTTCTGTGAAAGTATTTAAGTAATTTATTGATAAAAAAAAATTATTTTCTAAATGAGGCTTTATATAGGAGTATAGGTCAAACATGGGCCGATACTCATTAAATTTGGGAAAAGGATATATTTTTAAGTAACAGTTAGTTATGTTGAGTTTCATTGCGATACAAATGGTTACAAGTCAATTTTAGACGTTTAAGACATTTTTTGAAGGGGGGTTTGTGTGGGGGCTAGGGTCAATTAAGGGCCGATCATTACGAAAATCTGCAGTGTCATTTATACTTATATTAAACTTATTTGTGCCAATTTTTAGAGAAATAATAGTATATTTGACGTAATTATGGCATAAAAAGCCCAAGTCGGGAGGTACGGATGTATGTGGGCTAGGTGAAATAATAATAGGCTTAGTCCCTGTGCCAAAAAACATGTTTGGTCCAAATTTCATCAAATTATCTTGAAAATTGCGGCCTGTACAGCCAGCCGGATAGACGGACGGACATGTCTTAATCGACTCAAAAAGTGATTCTGAATCGATCGGTATACTTTAAGGTGGGTGTAGGACCAATATTTTTGTGTGTTACAAACATCAGCACAAACGTATAATACCCTCCCCACTATAGTGGTATAGGGTATAAAAAAAACATGTTCAAAAGTTATCGTAAATTTATATTTTAATTTCTTTATCTTTCATCTAAGGATATTTTCATAAAATAAACTTATTGAATAATTAATTTAATCCTTTTGAATTATGCAAACTTTACAATATTTATAAAGTGTAAAATGAAAAGAATTAAAAGGAAAGGAGAGAAGAAAATTGTTACACACAATTTGAACCACGATAAATATAGACAATATGACTATAATAGATAACTTGTACAAAACTTTTATTATTATTTTTGTATTTTTTTTTTTATTTTTTCTCTTTTCATAGTACACTTAAATCCAACGAATCTACTAAATGAACTTAATAATGGAAAAACATTGGAAATATTATTAAAATTATTGATGGTAAAATTCAAAATTCACAAACTTATGTTCGTATACAATTTTAATCTAAAAATAACATAAAAATCCATATATTTCCCATACAATAACAAAAACAAAAATATGACAATTAACATACGCACTGAAGTGGCAAGAGTTCCTAGAATGGGTGATATAGTCAACGTGGCTGGAGGATTTGTAAATAATCTAACAAAAGCCACACTACAAATAACCAACGATACAATTAGTTTGCTATACAACGATATCAGCAGCAATGCAACGAATACTAGTGCATTAACAACATCGATGCAACAAGAATCCACGTTAAGGAATGTTTTTAATCGAACTACCACCTCGACAACACACTCTCCTTCTACCCAAACATTTATGCCCACTTTAGGAAGATCAACAATAAATGCTGCATCAATACTTTCTACAACAGCCTTGCAATGGTTACAACAACATCCCGATTCACAATTACCTGCAACAATGAAAATAACCGATTCCTCATTGGCATTCCTCACGAATCTAACGTATACCGACTCGAATGTCTTTATACCAGCGACCGCTGGTCCCGCCATAGAGGATGATGAAATACGATTAGAACATGCACCACAACTATCCAAATCAGCAATGATTAAAGTCTACGTTCTCAGTATAATGGCCTTGTTCTCCCTTTTGGGCAACGTTTTGACAATGTGGAATATATACAAAACCCGTCTTGCACGTCGCAACTCACGTCATAGTTGGAGCGCGATATATTCGTTGATATTTCATCTCTCAATTGCAGATGTTTTGGTTACAGGATTTTGTATAATCGGTGAAGCGGCATGGTGTTATACCGTCCAATGGCTGGCAAATGACTTGACTTGTAAACTGGTGAAATTATTTCAAATGTTCAGTTTGTACTTGTCAACGTATGTTTTAGTACTAATAGGTGTTGATCGATGGATTGCAGTAAAGTATCCCATGAAATCCTTAAATATGGCCAAGAGATGTTATCGTCTGTTGGGTGGAACGTATATACTATCGCTGTTACTAAGTCTGCCACAGGTATATATATATATTTACTTATGTGCATAATATTATTATTAAGTAATTTATGTGTGTGTATAAGCAATAGAATCAGGGACGAAATCATATCAGAGAATCATAACATGTAAATTAAGAAAAAATTTTAACGAATAAGAGATTTGGCTAAAAATAGCATTTGGGAGCCAATACTTTTTAACATTAAGGTCAATTTTGAGGACGTTTTTTTGAGGAGTTAGAGTTTTACCCCCGTATTCATAAATAATTTATTTTAGGTTTCCACACAAAATACATACAATCAACCATCAACATCCTTATTGATGGTTGAGCATTTATGTATATGGTGGTTAATATGTTGTTTTTTTTTCTTTTAATTTTAATTGGCATAATTATGGAAAAACATGTAAAAGCATTAGAAATCTTAACGAAAATTAAAATTTTGGGTGTGAGTTAGTTAGTGGTGCATGTTTTTTCGTAATATTTGACATTATCAGGCAATATTTTTATGAACTAATAATGGCTATTATACAATCCCCCAACAATAAAGTAAATAATATTAACTAGAACTTTCTTTTGTGCGTCAACATAACCATTAATTAGAAAAAAATATATATGTATTTCAATGACGTTTTCCACATAATAATCCAGGAAAAACCAAAAGGTATGGAAAATGTTTGTGCACAAGGCAATTTATAAAAGTAGACACGTTTCAAATTTGTCTTAAATGGTTTGCCACTTTTGATTTTGGCCAAAATTTGTGTACGTAGTAAAATTATCTAGTAAATACGAATGTTAAACGTGCTTTTAATTAAAATTACACAAACGTGTTAGAAAAAAACACACAACAACAGAAGTAAAAAAATAAAAACATTTTTATGCAAAGTTGGCAAAGTACAAATGTAATTTAAATTAAAGTTTATTTTTATTTATTCATCTTTTTACTGCATATTTTTTTAACATTTCTCAAGGATTTCGTGTAGATTTAAGTAGAATTAAATAAATGTAAGCAAAATGTTGTTGCTCTTTTTTAAGGATTTTATAAATTACTTAAAAAAAGAAACTGTTATCTCAAAATAACAAATACCAAATGTTTGCAACTAAATTGAATAAGACAAGTTAAGTCTTATATAACCTTTAACAAAGTGCTGCCAGAATCTAAAAAAAGGTTCAAAAAAAGTGACGAAAAAAACATTTTAAAGGAAACAGTATTGCCGAAAGCAAAAATTCTATAACTTTTCATTTCACATACGAGCTGTTTTATAAAAAAAGGAACCTCCACCAAAGTAATTTTGAATAGAGTTTTGTGAGGGCGAGGGTGTAGGTGTATTATACGCAAAGCAGTTGAACGTCCTGTAGAGGCTTAAATATGTTTTATTTAAATTTTTTTTTACAAAAAACTTTTTTAACAAAAGGTTAAAATATGTTTTATTAAAAAAAAAAACTTGTCTGCTTTTGAAAGAATTTTGAATTAATTTAAAAAATACCACAGATTTGAGGTATATTTGGCATGTTTGACAACTCTTTCTGTCACAGAATTCCATTAATTTTTCAAACACAACAATTTTGTTCCTTATAAAATCATATTTAAATGTTTAAATGATTTTAATATGAGAATTACTTAATAAAAATGAAAATGAAGTAGTTAAAAAATCCGATTAAAAGACCAGCTTTAATATGGAATAGCAAATACACACACACTTAAATTAAATTAAAATGTTTTAACAATTATTTAGGTTAACTCAACTTTATATTCAGCTATACCATTATCCACACAATTGGGTAGGAGGCCTTATATTTACCCAATTTTCATAAAAACCTTAGACTAAATATCCTTCTATGGTAGCTTGGCTCAATGATGGTCTGAACACCACAGAATTTGAAAGAGCAATTAATTCTCTTTAAAATAAATCATTTATTTAACTTTTAAATTTTTTTCTTTACAAATATTATCATAAAAAAGTTATAAATAACTCTATTTTTTATACGTATTTATGACAAATAATATACACATAACCACCTAAGAAAAGATGTTGTCGTTCACATGCCCACTATGATTCATGTTCAAAAATAATTTTGTACCCATTTAATTTTCCTGAATTTCTTTGGTTCTTTTTTGTCAACAAATACTTCATTCAATGTCCGATATATTCGTCTGTTTTTTCCATGAATTCATAAATATGTATATTATTGTGTAACAAGGAAATATTTGTTTTCCGCCGATCAACGGGAAAGCAAATAGATATTGTAGAGAAATGGTAATAATTCTTAAGAGGGCTCTTTGTATTTTTGAAGCACTTGAAATAAGAAAAGCAATACAGCAGAAGTAAAGGAAAATATTGTATATACATTAGGGTGGCCCAGTTTCTGTTTAAAACAAATAAGTTTTCTAAGCCTTCTTTTGAGCCAAAAAATAATAAACGTCCATTTTGAGCAAAAAAAAGGCCCATTTTGAAAAAAAATAAATATTTAAAAAAATTATTTATTTTTGAAACAATAAAGAAATAGCTATCTAAACTCCTTTGGACCAATAGGTGAAAAGTTACACTGTATGTCAAAAATGTCCAACTTTGATCCCCTCTAAGTTCGGCAGTTCTTAACCAATAGAGCTGAAAGTTTGGTCTACTATCCAATAGTACTAACTTTGCTGCAAAATCATCCAAATCGGAAGACATCGATTTTAAAAGTTGGCTCACTTGACACGAAATCGCCCATATGTAAATGTTATGTAAGTCTTAAATATCTTACACAAAATTGAGAACATTTATTCAAATGAGACAACAATTTAAATTTTTTCTTTAATAATTACAAAAACCTTATCTTTTGATCGAACTCCCCAAATATTCACGTCAGAATTAATTTTCATTTTTATCAGCTTCCATTTGGAGACCACCCTCATGAACATAGTATATTACGGATTTTTTTTGGCTCTAGTGGTACTTTTTTGCTATTTCAGTCTGTTGTTGTTTTAAATAAATGAAAATAACCGCAAGTATTTGTTTGTATGAAATACAGTTATTTTACATAAATTACTAAAGCTTTGAGTAAAGTGCACAGTATTACGCAATAATGTGTGTACAATCGATTGATTTGCAATATATATTATATTTGACATTGAATCAAATCTAACAGATTCCATTCCTACCAGCCTTGTTACTCTTGATATATGTTTGTATGTATTTATTTTATAATTGGATTCTAGTTGATAATCCTTTTTACTTGCTTTTGTAGTTTTTTAATCTAATTTTTTATTAAATATTACAGAATATTCAAATTTTAATGAAACGTTAAAATTGGTTTCTTGTTTTGTAAATTTGTTTTAAACAAAGTTTAAAAGAAAAACTTACAAATTGGGAACTATGATCAACAAGGCTTAATATTAACAGTGATTTTTTACCTATTTGTCTGTATACCACTGTCAAAGGAATTAAAAAAATAAATAAAACAAAAATAAATTCACATCAATGGCTTTGTTTTTTTTTTTTAAACCTGTGAGTAACCATTTTTTTTTAATTTTTGTTAGACAAAAATATAGGGGAAATTTATACACAGAAAAAATTAATTTAAAAAAATTTTCAATTAAACGATTAATCAAAAATTTTAAAAGGGTTCAATTCATTTTGTATTTGAATCATAAAAATGTATAATCAAATACGTATTTAACAACAACAAAAATATAAAAAAATAAAAATTTTGTATACGAAATCAATTATAAGTAGTAATTGAATATACAATATTTGTTATAGGTTGAACTTCAATAAATAAAATAATTGAAAACGAGGTTTTGGTAATTGAAATCGTTTTTCAGTTTTTTCTGTGTACCAATTGTTTTAAAAACGGCTTTGGTAAAAAATTCAGTAATTAATGAGTTTTTAGAATTTTTTATTTTATTTGATTTTATATGAATATTCTAGAATTTTTTGTATATTTTTTAATTTCCATTTCTAGTTATTTCTTCTTTAGATACATATGTGGAACTCTTCATTATACTTTTAAAGCGACTAAAAATTTCACAGGAAAATTTCGTGGAAATATGTAGCTTTTGGATACATATTTTCAATTTAGTGTTATACAGAGAAAATAGAGAAATAAAATGTAATTCGTTAAGAATGCTTAAAACAAAAAAAAAAACGTTAAAAAAGTGCTTTTCTAAATCAGGCGTATACTTAATATTTGTAATATCAGTAAATCATTAACACGTATACGTACAAGTGTCGTTAATATAAGCAGAGCAATTTCTTAATTTGCATCAAAGAGTATATTAAAATTCAGAACAGTTTCAGATGTCACCGAAGCCCCACATCTTTGGGAAATGGAATGACAAAATTATATAAATATAGTTCTACTCTTCTTACGAACGTGAATGGTATAACAATATATTGGAATTGGTTTTTGATATGATTGATGATTGTACGAAAACATTAAAGTTACTCATATTATTAAATAAATAAACGTTTCTAAAAAGTCACTTAACTTCATCATCTGTTTTGTATAGTATTTAGTCAATAAAATTAGACATCAAAATTCGACAAATCATATTCATTTTATAACATTATTGTTAAGTTCATTGAGCACTTAACTTCTTTACTGTATTGCAAAATTATTGATTTTTTAAAACATCCAATCTAAAAAAGAACTCCCAAACCGCATGGCTACAATTTTATGAAATTTAAGAAAACGTAAATGTAATAATGATATTAGGACACCCAAGACACATACATACATACATACATATGTACATAAGTATGTAGTTACACGTATAGAAACACATTATCACATATTCAGGAATCCATATTAGTATAGACCAAAAATAAAATTACACAACATACATATAAGTTGTCGTCCTTTTCCATTTGAAATTCCATTTTCCATTTTGAAATTCTAATTTATAAAATACTGAAATTTTGTTGATTTTCCTTATTAGCAAATCTGACATACGCTTAATTAAGACCAATTTTTAACGGCAATCATTATACATAAATAAAGGGATACTCCTAATTTTTAAGTGCACGCATCAATGATAC